AAAGCACGCCCAAAAACCCCGCCAAAAGCACGCCCATAAGCACGGCCATAAGCACGGCCATAAGCAATGCCACAAGCATGCCCATAAACACGGCCACAAGCATGCCCATAAGCACGGCCGTAAGCATGCCCATAAGCACGGCCATAAGCAATGCCATAAGCACGCCCGTGAGCATGGCCATAAGCACGCCCGTGAGCACGCCCATAAGCATGGCTGTGAGCATGGCCATAACCATGGCTGCCACTTGCAGCCAGGTTCTCCTCTGCTTGCGATGCTGCCATCCCATCGCCCCTGGCGGCGCCTGTGGGCTCAGCTCTTAGGTCTCACATGCTGTCGGCAGGCTGGCTAAAAAATGTGAAGCTCCTCTGGTGTATGGGTAAGGAAACCGACACGGCACTGCGCACCACGTCCCTTTTACCCCCGTTTCCAGCACGCAGACGAGGTGACAGCAGTCCCCTGCCATGCTCTTGCTCCCACCACCAGCAGCTGCCACATGAGAGGGCGGACAGGAGCAGCTCCCCGAAAAGGGGGGGGGGGGGGGTGTCACCCCTCAACCACCCCTTACCCCACACCACCGCCCTCTGCCTCCCAGCCCCTCACACCCCACCGCCCCGGCTGCAGGGCGCTGCTGGAAAGCAGAGAAACGGTGGGTGGGTCGGCTGGGCGTGAAACCCGTGGAAGAAGCAATTCGGAAAATGGCAGAAAGATCCCGGAATCGCGCAGTTTCAGCGCGGTGTCCTGTGAGGACGTAACCGCCGGCGCCGCAAGGGCGCGCGCTCTCTGTGCGGGTGACGCCGGAGCTGTGGCCTGCGGCTGTTGCCTTCCCGGCGCAGTCCCATCGTGGGGGGAAAATTCGGAGATGTATGCCGGGATTCACACCGTGGAGTGTTTCGTGTGTTTGCAGCTGGGCAGCTTGGATTCCGACTTGAAACAGATGTGATGCTACCTCCGCTGCCGGGGCAGGAACTGCGGCTGGGAACGCCTGGGGGCAAAATCTACGCCAATGCGGTTTGGGACGGACCTCAGAGACGCCTGCCCAGCGGCCGCGGGTCACAGCTGAGCAGGTTTATTCCAGCGCGTGGATGTCGCGGTTTAACCCCGGCCGGCAGCTCAGCCCCGCCCGCAACATCGCTCGCAGCCCCCCCGCTG